ATAATAATAATAATAATAATAATAATAATAATAATAATAATAATAATAATAATAATAATGATAATAATAATACCTCTAAACTACCACGTGTACAAAGTACCCATAGAAGGAGAAATTCGTTTTGCTGATTAAAACAAATCCCATAAAATTTATTCAAATTATCGAATTCAATACGTTTCATCTGCAATTTATTACTACTATTATTATTAATAACACTGCATAGTAATATTGAAAATAATAATAATAATAATAAGTAAAAAATAAACTAACTTCATTCAATTGTTTTAATTCAGATTTCGTGAAAGTGATATTCTTAGACTGCGCAAAGCGTTTTACAGCCACATTCACATCGTTACATATCGCTTGTTTCACGTAAATCTTCGTGTTTGTTCGCGAGCTGGCACTGCCCATCGCAGACTCTGCGCTGATCGATTTTGAGAAGGACATCTCGGATCGCTGATTTATTTTTATTATTATTATTAATTACTATTATTATTAATTATCATTAATTATCATTAATCTTTAAAGTACAAGCTGCTCACCGCTCTCGAATCGTCCACTAAACGAACACTCTCCCTCGGAATACGCCACGTCATATCGTACAACCTCTTCTCTCTCCTTCAATAAATACCACAATACAATAACAACAACAACAATAACAACATAATAAATAACCAACTAACTCTCTTAAATAAACCAAATACGTCACCGGCGCACTTATAGTAAAACAAGCGATAATCGCGGCCAATACAAAAACATTCGTATAATCACATAAACTCGCATCGAAACCGCAATACGGCTCATCCTCAGGCAACTTTCCATCATTTGATGGCCAGTAGTCGTTTATCAATTCGTGTGGTACCTTTTATTATTATCATTATTATTATTATTATTATATAAAAAACAACAACAACATAATAAATAAGCAAAAAACAAACATGCTCGAAGCAGTCCTCCTCGTCATCATCAGCTCGCGAGCAGTCACCTCTAAGGGTGGCTTTCATTTGCTGTACGACCCTCACCGTTCCATTGCTCACGTGATAAATCGCATAGGATGGAACACGAATCGCTTTCTTATTTGTCAGTACGTGCCCACTCATTCCTATAATTATTCATACATACGTAAATATTATATGTTAACACTAAAGGCAATCAAAATAGATCAATCACCAATAAACTGTCGATTGATCATTTTTTGCCACAAAAATGAGCCGTTTAAGTAGACGTGCTCTGAATCGGTCTCATCGAATGCATCACGCAGTGCAAGTCCATACAAATATAACGCATCGTATAGTGACATATATGTTATGCTTGCATACTATAACAGTAATCACCATGCATCACTTCTTTCATAGCAAATACCATAATAGTAATAGTAATAGTAATAGTAATAGTAATAATAACAAAAAATTTACATGACTGCACAAAATACCAGTTTCCTGGGCGAACTTCAACTGGAACTCGTTCACGAGTTTATGGTCGTAGCCATGTGCCGTTATAATGATGGTGTTTTCGAAGGCGGCCTTCACCTCGTGCTTATCCACACCACTCGCTTCCCACGGGTAATAATCGTTCACATGAAATAAATAGTGTTTCTTATTACAAACAAATCATCAGCCATTATAATAACAACAACATCAATGAAACGAAACTCACATGAGCTAGCCACGGCAATATATACACAAACTCTTCAGTTTTCATACCACACCTATGCACTGCTATCATAAAATTTGTTACCGTATCTAGATCCATGCCAAGCTCTACGATTATTACTAAAACAATACCATTAATTAATAATAATAATAGTAATTACAATAATAATGATAATAATAATAAACCAACTTCTTGCAGAACGTTTCAGTGTTTTAAGAATGTTCGAAGCTAATAAGTCATCAACAGTGGCCATTGAATTCACTTCAAGTTGAATATTGACTGAAATTTGCGACCCTTTCAAAACATTCGCTAACGAATAGACCGATAAGCGCTCGTAATCCTCAGATGATCGCACGATGGCTACCTCAAATAATGAAACATCACTAATAAAACAATGCACGATGATCCAATTCCAGAGCTTTTTTCATTTTCTGAAGGCACTCAACCAACTCGGCGGCGGCATCAAGTACCAGAACGAACCTGTTTCCAACGATTCAGCTGTATGAACGTGTGAGTGGCTTTCGCCATTTCTATGGCTGACGTAAGCGCTACTGATCCGAGTGTCGTGAATATGTGTCGATTCGCTAGTGCATCGTGTCCGGACGTATGCGCTATTATAGGCACATTCCATCGTGACGCCAATCGCCCAATTACTAACATCTCTTCAAAGTGTTCACTATATATTTGTAATCATAACAACAATAATAATAATGTAAGGCATTAACCAACCGTCATTGCAACCAGGTCCAAAATAAACCGTAGTGCTACGTTTGTAATGCATAAAAGCGGCATGCTCGACCCCGTTGAATGCCTCACAAGAGCTCATTGTGAACACTCTGCATAATTGGGCATAATTAATTACTCACAAGTAATACTTACTTACTTACTTACTCAGTAAGTAATCATCAACATCAATAAGCCACTCACTCCAATGTGAAATTTGCCGGTAGAATACTTCGAAGTGCCAACTCCTTTGCGCACAACCTCAGCACGTCCGGTTCGTGCGCAAGTGCTGAGTTATTCTTCAGCAGATGCCCTATACGGATGTTCACTTGATGTCCATTCTTCTTCACTTCTGCACGCCTAACAAACGCAAACACACCGCCAATCAGCACTATCTTCAGCCAGCTACTAACAAGCATTATTCCACTCACAATAATAACTAAGACTCTACCTCAGAGCAACACTTTATAACTTCACTAATCCAGTGCACACCTAGTTATTTTGATTAATGCTAAATGATAAATGCCAATTAAGAAATGAAATGATGAATCGGAAACGAGTTAATGCATTAATGCATTTATACACTTAATATCTAGCAGCAGCAGCAGCTCACTCCTCCCATTCACTTAAATTACTTTGCATAAAGCATTATACACAGACGACTGCGCGTCACACCGACGACAGTTCAGCGCCGAACCGAGGACAGTTGGGCGCCGAATCGAGGACACTTGAGCGCCGAATCGAGGACAGTTGAGCGCCGAATCGAGGACAGTTGGGCGCCGAACCGAGGACAACTGGGCGCCGACTTCCGCAGAATCACTAATGCAGTAATGGTGTGCAGATGAAATGCAGCAAGACTTTACGAGTAACATCTTACTTGACACGTGAATAACGGATGCATTCACTTTGCAGCCACAGTATTATATTTACCTTGCATCCATCCATTCTGAGCGAGCAACGCTTGCAACTCTGGCCAAGCACTTAAGAAAGCATGCCGTATCTCTGTACCAACCAACAACTAACTCTTAATAATCCAACTCCGTCCCACCCCATCCCTATCAAATACTTCGCTGCAATTAATAAATCACAACCAACTAATACTAATCGTTCCGTTACAAGTAAGTCAACATATTCCAATCATAACAACGCATAACCATAATCCACTAGTGCTAGTAATGCCCCTCAACTTAATCAAGTCATTTGCATCATACAATTTCATTGCTTTGTTCGCGCTATTTAATAAGTCTCATACAATAGTAGCACATCAATAATGATATCGGGTAAGTTGATCACTCTAAAATAATTGCAAGAGCATAATAAGATCACAATATAATAAGCTTCATACACGCATACTTTTGACTGCCGCCTTGCATCCCATTTCCCGCATCTCTCATCCACAATGTACACAAATAAACATATAGTACAAAATTCATAATACAATAAAAAATATCACTTATTTATCGCTGTTATGAATAAAATATTTCGTTTGCACCACTGATACACGCGTTGCAAATCCACTCGGCGCGTGGCTCGTTCAATATCGCCTCGAAGCTTTCTCTAAGTAATTCGCTGCATTCCTGTAATTGACATAACATACCATAATAATAATAATAATAATAATAATAATAATAATAATAATAATAACAATTCAACACAATACCAAAAACCAACTAATATATAAAAGCTACCTGATGAAAAAAGCGCCGACAACCCTGATTGTTGCCTGTACACTGTATTCCAATGCAATCTCCCTGCAGCACCGTTTTATAATAACAGCAATCAATATCAACAAGTCAAAATAACAATAATAAATCTAACCCGGAATTCTTCTTTACAATAACCACATCGTTGCAAAAGCAATGTTGCGCCATTACTAGTATTATTATTATTATTGTCATTAGTGTTGTTTTCATCCAAAGAATTATTTATTCTAATATTACTTATTGTTGTTGACGTCATATTATTACTATTGATATTATTAATCACATCAAAATTATTCGATGTTGACGGCCTGTTAACTGAAAATACGACAGTTATCGATACCGCTTAGAACAAATCATACTGATTTATCAGATCTTAGAAGTACGTTTAACATTCACACAACGTAAGAAACATACCATAACTATAAGCGCACTCGTGCCTGTTGGTAATATTCGCTTTATTATTAGTATTACTTTTCATGATGAGATTTGCCAACGCCTTGAATGCTGACTCTGGATAGGGCACTCGAACGTTCCTTCAAATCAACTTCATTATTATCATGGCTAGTGTCAACTTCGAGTACCTACACAGGACAAAGAAATTAACCTTGGTAATGACAGCTCACCACCACAATACAACGGGTTTCCAGTGTTCACGAAGTGAGGAGGACTTCGTGGGGTTTGACCGCCACAAAATATGATCCGCTTGCGGGCTCTGCACCTGGCTTTCAGCCCTCGACAGCAATTACCATTGTTCAAATACTCTTCCTCGAACGGGTTTCGAACGTTGATCACCTCTTTCAGTTCGAATGAAGCCGAAGCGGCACTCTTCTTGCCTTTACTCTTCTCACACGCACCGTCACTCACCACCTTCGATGTCAATAACAACAACTCGCCCACCCCTCTCCCCCCATTCCGACCTCGCCCTTTACGATCTGATGTCGTCACTGCTGTCCTATTATCCACCACATCACTATCATTTACTGCTGTACAGTATGTACTGCTATCGGCCACATCACATGCTACAGGAGGCTCAGGTGTTAAATTCTGGTAGAAATCAACCACTGACGGCGGTCTAATATTATCCTCTTCTTCTGAGCCCAATCCCAAACCTAGTCCTAGACCTAAACCCAAACCCGATCCGGAAAACACTCCGTCCGCACTCCGTTCTGCAGCATTCGTATCTGTGCCGAACTCCGTCTGTCGATCGTTCGCGTGTAAGATTGCCGTTGTGGCCATTTTTTGCCCTCGCCGCTTTCTCACTTCCAAACAGCAGTTTGCGAATTCTGAAAACGGTTTTAAACAACAATAATAAAAATAATCATAACAATAGTATTAATAACAACTCTCACTCATGTGCCAATACAAACAAAATACGCCGCAACCTCAAATCATCTTAAAAACCTACAAAACAACAACCATTTATGATTTCATTTTAAAAACATTCAAATCATACATAAACCAGACTAAACATACTGCCTTCCACTATCACAGTACATATTAAAAAATATTATTATTATATGCCATTGTCGTTTCGTACGCACCTTCACATCACACTGACAAGCACGCACGCACGCGCATAAGCATGCGTGCAGCCTCTCATATCATCCTGTTTCTATTTAGTTCGCATCCCAGCGCACAATATGGATAAGAAAACCAGAAATTAATAAATGCAGCAGCAGCAACAAGTCACAATAATACACCAGCAATCACCACAGCCAACAGCTTACTCAGAGGTAGAAACCTAGGCGGCCGGTAACCCTATACCCGGCGGGTTCAACTGCCTGCCGTTCACGGATATCGAAAACGATTGCTGTGCCTAGATCGAAAATGCATTTTATTTTTCAACAGCGACAATTTTTTTGGCAGTATTATTTTACAATGGAACCAAGTGGAACCTAGGCCCCCTAAGTGTTTTTCAATTGAAATGCACTGCTCACTGCTGTCACACAAGCTAGGAAGTCGACACTTTCATTTAGCAGTGTACTACACACAGTGTTACGTTTAAGCGCTGCTCACTCTCGGTGTAACCTAGGCTTAAACGACGATCATCAATCAGTCGTGATCGAGTTGACACTAGCTAGAGCAACAAAGCAGCTTTACGAGTTCACACTCAGATTCAGTCATTTGCTTTCAGATGCATGCATCAGCCAGCAATACTAGCACGTACAATTAATTAGTAATTAGCAATAAAAACATGAACAGCAAGTTGGTTGGTAAAGCAACGTCTGCTTTTATTGTTTCTCTATTAAAGATCAGAATTATATTGTGGTTAACGCGCAAAATCAGGCAGACGCCAGACAGACCAGCAGACGCAGAGATAGAGCAAACGAAAGAGGAAAAGACTCAGAGAACAATCGCTTGCTGTCTGCAGTGTTGGCGAATCGTTACTGCGCACACTCAAAAATGAACACGCTTAAGACCAAGGCAGCAGCCTAGCCTAGCAGATAGCTTGCGGCCAGATGAATGCCACCTATCTCCCCGAACACGGACTCGTTGAATCACAAACATTTTGCTTCAGCTCAACTCGATCGAATCGACAACGCAACAAGGTGCTCAATAAACAACAACACAACACAATAACAACGAAAGTAAAACCCACACAGTCTATTATCCCCATTTGCGTAGTACCATTCTCGCGTCCATACCTGCAACATCCACAAAACCATTAAAGCAACTAAAAACAAAATACTCAAACTTGAATACCTCCAGTAGAATGGCGCAACTATCGGCGAACAACACTTGAGCAGTTAAGCCGTCTCGTCACTAATGCCCAACGCACCTGATCTGCTAAAGCAAATGAAGTGAACAACGCACCATTTCATAATCCAATCCCTTTGCCTTTATGCATCACCACCAAACGATCGTTAAGCATCAGCACAGTTTAACAATCATCACAACAACATAATAACATCATACAATAAAAGCACGCACATTCACCATCCACCCAACCGACCACTCACCACCACCACTCATCTCAACAATGAGCTCTACCACTCTCTAAACACTACCATTTAAACGCCACGTCATCATCAACTAATCAATAATAGACCAGAGCACTGCGATACAAATAGAAATAGCATCATACAACAACTATTATTATCAAATAACTCATACATAAATTTCTATTGCCTCTAAAAAATTAAAATAAGATACTCACAAAACAGCGATTCAACCTGATACAACGATCGTCATACATCACTCTTAATAATAACTGTGACAATAATAATAATACTTCGCAAAAAAACCAAAATAAAGCAATAAAACTCCCACAATTATAACAAGTATAAACAGAACTGATAACATTAACTATAATTATTAATTATTAATCACAATAATATTTCCTTCCTTCATAACGAGCATATAATAACNTCAACGCTAATCACCACAACACACTCAACTCAACCAACCTTTATTTTCTCATCTGAATAATCCTTCTGCTGTTTTCGAGCGTCACCCCTCGACGACACCGACCCACTCCGCTGCTTCAACACCTCACTCGCATAAAACCCACTGTTGAACAACTCATCTGAACAATCAATCATACAACAATAACTCTACTCAACCAATCAGCAACCCAACCAACCAACCCTCGTCATTCTCATCCTCGGAATCGTCCAAAAGTGGTGTGAATGCGTATCGTTGATTGTTCTGCGACGGTCTCCACAAAACCATAATCACCACCAAAATCGAACAGAATAACACGTGCCAAAACGCTGTATCTATCCAACTGCAATATACAAACACAACAATAACATCAACAATAAATAATCACCATAACAACAATAAATAACCAAACGTAACTATTCCTTCCAATCCACCAAACAGTGCTGTAAATTGTGCATATAAATCGTCCATATCATGAACACTGCACTAACCATAACAGCAAAACATAATGTATTCGTAAAATGTCGATAAACAGACAATTTTATCTGAAATTTCTTAAATAAGCATAATAAAAAAGTAATAACACACACGTATGTACAATAATAAATAGTAACCTCATTTCGACGTAATCTCAACACACGCATTGTGCTAATCAATGAGGTAAAGATCCACCAGAAAATCACCACCTCGAGAATTATAAGCGGAAGTGCGGCCAACTGCTTTTGCTTGACTGCTTCCGCATGACTCTTAAATGACAATAACAATAAGCATAAAGCATAAACCACCAACAGGTATAAGTAAATTCACCTTCGATACTCTGGCCAGTCCCTCGATAGCACAGAAAATGAAGTAGATGAAGCCAACACCAGCCACCTGATTTAGGGTACTTCCCAGGCGCGGTTTCACCACGCCGTAACCCACAGACACTATGATAATGAGCACTCTTGACATTGTCCTCTTCAAACATGACACCAATTCGGCTGCCTTAATTAATTATTTCAATGAAGTCGTCACTCCGATAAAACATCAAGCCTGAATTTGCCACGTATCTCACCACCAGCTATAGCATACCTCAATGAAGCCATCCACTGAAGTACCATTTTCGTTCATCGTCTCGTATTCCGAATAGAACATTGCCTTCTCGATCATCCCCACCGTTATCACAGCACCTTCAATACACCTCCTCTCCACTTCCACATAACAATGACACCAATAATAATAATAATAATAATCACACAACCCACCAATCCAAAATTGTATCCTCAAAATATCTTTCCAATGTCGCAAACAAACCGACAACCATACCAACGCAAGCACCATATAAAACACGCACATCAACGAATAAAATCTCAATAATGGGTAATCTATTGCACTCAGGTATCCGTATGGCCCACGCCACTGTACGTCCATTGTTATCATATGCGATTTATCATTCTTATTACTGCTATCCACCGGCGGATATTTCACCACGGTAAACTTCAATACCAAAAAATATATACCATCCAATGGTAATTTCTGAACTGGATGCCATGAACTGAAACAACTCCATTTCAATAAACATTATTAATTGGATACTCACATAACCAAGTGAGAACCAAGTATTACGAAACCTACTAGCCATTAAACTGACCACGATAATACTAAAACGATATCGAACACAAACAACACATCAACACAAGCGCAGCATTCACCAACCGACCACTCAACAGCCAACAAAACACAACAATGATCAAGCACTCAGTGAATATCGACTTCATCTCACTACTCTAGCAGTTCTTACAACTCTAACTGACTGTCGACAGCACCTTAACGAACGTTTCGCGCCACCATCCAACGAATCTCCATTCAGTCCTGCATACTCTCGCTTCGCTAGACGTAAATTATGCGCCGCTTCTGTCTGATTCACCTGAAATTTCACTATATTCACTAAATTCACACTCCAATTAAAGATGAAGGCAACAGCAAGCCACTGAAACAGAAGCTGACCTTCATGCCATGCGTGCTCACATTATGTACCTCTAATGGTTTTAACGGTAGTGGTTGATCGAATATCATCGTGCCTTGCGCATCTTTACAACTGAATCGTTGTGGAGGTGATTTGTAGAATAAAATCTTCTGGTAATCGTAACCAGCCGGAATTTCGTATTCTTGATCGAAATAAAAGTTCTGAAATTTCCGCCGACTGTTTTTCATGAATGAAAAAATGAAAATCTTTTTTTNTTTTTTTCTCAGTTACTGCGTCCAGGTTCTCATGCAGAACAAGCACAATTCAACGATGATGAATCTTAGGCAAAACCCCGCGGCTAAAACTTTAGCCAAAAACACGACCATGTTCCGATTTTGTGTGCACCTTCTTACACATGTTCTCTACAACAACACTTCGTAATAATAATAATAATAACAATAATAATAATAATAATAATAGTAATAATAATAAAAACCATATTACACACCAAAAGATCTTTCACTTGCCCTTGACGATTTACATCGAAGAATTCCTTGTCACACGGCGAGCTTCTAATCACAAACTGCACATCAAATTGCAAGTCCGCACTCTCCATACAGTTCAATCGAATCTCCACTTCGGTGCCATTCAACGCTGACTGTGGAAAACCCACGTACTCTACCTAAAACACACACACACACACTCGCAAACTGCATCAGAACAACCCCAACCCAACTTCTTTGCCACTCACCGTTTCAGGTTTCAGTTCCAAATCCGTGCTGATTATGGCCGGAGTTAATAGGTGAGCAGATACGGTGAGCAGTGCACCCTTCGAGTCCACTAATAATATCGTTATCAAAATCAATAACTTCGTTGAGCGGTTTACCATTATCATACCAACAATTATCCAGCAATACCCTAAACAGTATTTCAATTAATAACAACAACAACATCAATCACTACTGATCACAACAACAATAATAGTTTCAAATAAACTGCAAATAAACTCCTAGTGACGTGAGCTATCGTTGCACTAGCTCACATCACATCACAACTTCACAACGTCACCATGAGCGCGCACCCAAGAAAATAAGCAAAAATCAATTTCAATAATAACTTCAAAAAGCAGCATTCACATTAAAAATAACCACAATCAGGTAAACAACATTGCATCACATGGT